TATTACATAAAAGGGAGATTTAGATGGACAGCTGTTTCAGCCCAGTCTGCTTGGTCTGAGCCACCCTGACCTAAGAGGTCGTGACACCATGGAGAGTTGGAGGCCCTATCTGATCTTTGTTCTTATGTTGGGGTCTTTACGTGTACAGAAGGTATGTGTTTTATAGTGTGCTCTAGCTTATGTGACAGTTACCAAACCAAGGAAGGTTTTCGACGAGGCCTTCTCTGGCCTATACTGGCCAGGACTCGCCTGGAGATGTACTTGAAGGGGACCTTATGCAGGTCCCCTGAGACCTGTTGTGAATGCAAACTGCCCTGGGCTCACCATTCTCTGCCTACTTGAGGAGTTCTCCAGGCTTTATGGGAGCTTATTCCATATGTGAGGCAGAAACCAGACTGTGGTGTGTGTGTGTGTGTGTGTGTGTGTGTGTGTGTGTGTGTGTGTGTGTGTGTGTTTACGTGTGTGTACTTTTTACTTAGCTTACAAATGAGCGATTTCCATAAGGCCGCTTCAAGAATTTTTAGTTTACTAACCTACCCTTTGCCTCTTCTCCCCAATCCGCATTCCCATCCCCACTAAATTAACTCCTATTATTTACTTGTCTCTTTTTGTGCCCTCTCCCTTGCGAGTTGATGGTACTTGACTTTAGCTCCCTTTATACCCTAGTTTGGGTTACAATTGCTATGATAAAATACCATGACCAAAAACAACTTGGGAAGGAAAGCGTTTATTTGGCTTACACTTCCACATTGTAGTCTATCAATGGAGAAAGTCAGTGCAGGAATTCAGGCAAGGCTGGAAGCTGAAGGCAGGAGCTGATGCAGAGGCCGTGGAGGGGTGCTGCTTACTGGCTTGCTCTTCTTATAGAACCCAGGACCACCAGCCCAAGGGTGATATCACTCACTGTAGCCTGGGCCCTCCTCCATCCATCACTAATTAAGAAAATGCTCTATAGCTGGATTTTATGGAGGCATTTTCTCATTGAACTTCCCTCCTTTCAGATGACTCCAGCTTATATCAAAGTTAACATAAAACTAGCCTGCACACTGTACATGAATAGTTCATTTCCCTCTCTGGGCTTGCCCCAGAAGAGGTGGTTCTTAGAGCCAAGGCTGTCTCCAAAGAAACATACTAGATGATTCAGAGGAAAAGGACATCTGAAAGTGCCTTTCCAGGGACTATATGAAAATCAAGTCATGTGTTGTCCTGGTCTTAAAGAGTGAAGTGGTGGCCATACTCTTGGGTACCCTGTGACCCTCGCAGGAATCTCAGTGGAGGATGGGGCAACTGTGTAGGCTGTTCATTGTGAGGAACACACTGTTTATTTCAGGCACTGTGCTGGGGGTTGGTGGTGTTCTCTGACTGAGAATGTTTTGTCAGAGTGATGGATGAGAGTCACCCCTACACACGTCAGCATCCCAGGGAGGTGCCAGGTTGGGATATCAGTTGTTTTGTTTTGTTCTCTATCCAAAATTACAAGCACACCAGCTCTGACCTTCTTGGAAATGCTTCATCATGGTTGATAGATGTGCCTGGTCAATAAATTCTAAAATGTAACAACCTGAGAAAGGGAACGCCTTTGGAAGAAGTGCTGAGAGCACATTGTGGGAACAGTTCAGTGTGTATCTCATGTGACCTTGCTGACAAGACTAATGTGTGTCACCCGGTAAGCTAGTCCTTAAAAGTCCGAGTTTTCTGACTGTTTAGGAAATCTCAGGAATTTCAGTGGATTTTCATGTTAAAAATATAACAATTCCACTTGCTTTATAAAATAACTGCTCTAGGAAGGATGGACGTTTGTCAGTCCTTTTGACCTGTGTGTGGAGTAAGACACATGAGACTGTAGGAAGGATAAAGACCCTAAAAGTCCCTAAATCCAAATGCTAGAATAAGCAGAACCCAGAATAAACCTTTCAATACAGTGTGCTGAGCCAGGCCTAATTTTCATTTTAGTGCTTATCTTTTTTAAACCTTTTTTTAGTCTTTGGAAGTTTCATATACTTGCATAAAGTATATTAATTATAACCATAAAAGGAAGTTTTGACTTCCTTTTAAGAGCATATATTACACTTTTGTGTGGGGCTGGGTACAGTGGCATACACCTTGAATCTCAGCACTTGAGAGGCAGTGGCAGGAGGATCTCTCTGAGTTCAAGGCCAGCCTGGGCTACTTGTGAGCTCCAGGTCAGCCAGGACTATATAGAGAGACTCTGTCTCAAAAACAAACCAAACAAAACAACTAATAACTCTTTTCTCTCATCTCCTTTCATGTTCTGCTGTCCGCTCTAATTGAACTCCCCCCCTGGGTTGTAGGATCGTAGATTTCTGGATAGCTCATTCACTCAGCATTTATTTTGGCTAGACCTTCTGCCAACACCTTACTTTCCTATCTCTTATCCACCTACATGCTTGACTCTTTCCAACCCCAGTGTTTCCCCTCTGTTTTCGTTTTATCTGTATTTTACTATCCTCTCTCCCTTGGCGTCCACTCCAGAAGTCAGGGATTATTAAAACATTTTGTTTTTAAGCGAAGAATATTCAATTACATTGTTGTTTTATTAAAGTATTACTGATTGGAACAATAATTATTTTTGAGAGGATAAATAATGCTGTGCTATTAATATAACCAAGCTATTATCTTTAAAATATATTTTTCCATCTTAATTCTACCCTTTAAAGGCTCTCCTTTGGGGTGCACTAGTATTCAGCGTGTTAACTATAATTAGTAATACATTTCCTATGGGGAAGAGGGTGTTTGCAATATTCTGTTGACAGGAACGGTGGATGAAAAGATTGAGGCCGGAAGTCAGAGGCCACTGACCTTGGAGAGAGACCCAGAGCAAGTCACAGACCCACTCATGGGACACTCATTGCCAGAGAACCACCTGACAGTGGCTCCGGGCAAAAGCATGCCCAGTCCCCTTACGTTGTTTTTCTTCCCAACAGAGGTCATGGACTCTGAGCCCCCATTTGGAATTTCCAGTGGCCATGTCGTTCTGTTTGCAGAGTGGGCTCCAGCCTGTGTGGGTGGTGGCGGCCAGTGTCACCTCTGGTTTGACCTGGAGTCTGGGGCCCAGGGCTGTCTTTCTTGTGTGTCTGTGCACTGCAGTCTGCCCCTTTCTATTGGGTTCTGCTAGTTCATTGATCTTGTTTAAAAACAAAAAACAAAACGAGTCACTTAGGGCCCACTGCACTAGGCTTGGACTTTCACACTACAGTCACAACTCTTTGGCTCAAACCTTCCTCACATTGCTCCTTGGAATCACTACTTCTTGGGTTGACTGGTAGTGTCACAACAGGAAATCTAGCAGCATGTAACCGGTAAAGTCAACTCTAGGGAAAGTAGAGTAGCCTTCCCCAAAGCCTTTGACAAACACAGCCCTAGGAACAGTGGTTCTAAAGATAGATGAAAAGATGCTGTAGCACAGAAGTGTGCCTGTCCTGCCCTGCACATCACTGACTCTACCACATGGGAGTGGCCCCTGGATGGCTTCCATGGCAGGCCCCAAACATCAAAGGCACTGCGGTGGCATTTCTACTATACCAGGAGTTTAATGTTCATAAATGATAACACACATACATAGACTATTTCTCAAGCCAAATCTTTTAGAGAGTCAGGTTTTGTAGCAGAGATATACAGCTTCCCTCTCTGAAAACTTCGGCATACTGTAGGCCACTGGCCCCCACTGATAGCATCCCTGGAACCTCATGGTGGCCCATGCATAGGACCATCCTTGACCTTTTTTTTTTTTTCCTAGCTCTGTAGAGCCATAGTTCATGATGAACAGACTATGACTGCCTGGTAGTCCTTAGTGCTTCATCCCCTGTTTCTGGTTCAGAGAACATGCACTCACTGGGATGCACTGGATCCACCCCAGACCAATTCTCAAAACATTCCTGTCCCAGTGCTAGTGGGATGTGAGTTCTTGTGGAGGCCACAGAAGTTCTGGCGGGTAATCTGGTGTCCTGGTGAGGTAGGTATCAGCCACCTGGTGCCGAGTCTTCTGGGCGAGGCAGACTAGAGGCCTGCCTTGGGGCTGGTGCAGTCTCTAGTGGGTACATAAGTTGTCAATAGGTGTTCAAGAGACAGGAATGGGATTTGGGGAGTAGACCCTGAAAATGAGAGAGCCATTATCAACCACTGAAAGTCACAGCGAGGGGACAGAGAATCCTTTAATCCTGCGTTAAGGCTCCGGTCCGTGTGTCTGGTGTGAAAGATGAAGAGTCTTCATGTGGACCACCCATACATCTAGAGCCCTGCATGGGTGATTAGTGAGATTGAAGCCGCATTCTCCCTCCCCCCAACCATGAGAATTTACTGTAGACACTTGGGGAACAAGGAAAAATCCGTTTACTCTAGCGTGCATCCTGTTCTGGTTAATGCACAAAGCCATGAACAGAAACTTTTAACAGAAAGTTTATATAGGCCGTAAGCATCAACATTCCACATATAAAGTTATACTTTGGGCAACTAAACAGACACAGAAAACTTCAAGTCTGGCCAATTAGGACAAATTGGAGATTTTTACATAATGATATTGTCACAGTAATTTTTAATGTAGATCAACATTGTTCTTTTCCAGTAGTTGTTACCTGGGTCATCCTATCTGGCAGAATTACGCTCTTCTTAGTGAGAGAACCAAGATATAGGCATGTTCTTTGATATGGAAATAGGACCTAGTTGGCAGTAATCCTGGTGAACAAATCTTAGCAGGAACATGTTCCCAGCAAGCCTGAAGTTCAGTGATGTTAGAGGTACACAATATCTCCTACGGTTCCTAACAAGCCTGTTCAGTGTGCTCTTTATTTTCTGGGTAAATTCGAGGCAGCGCTCCTTCAGCTAGAGTCCACTTTGTTTAACTTAATATTTCCTAAGCAAGCGTATTGGTAAATCCTTTATCACCTCAATTTATCACCCCCAGTCTTTCCTATATGGAGGTGTCATGGTGGGAGGGTGAGGACATCGTGCATGCTTGGGATTCATGACCCCGTGACCCCCAGGCTGAAGAGGAGCGGGATGACATGGAGAGAGTAAAGCTGGACAACAAGAGGATCCTCTTCAACCTCCTGCCCGCCCACGTCGCACAGCACTTCCTCATGTCCAATCCCCGGAACATGGTGAGTGGGAGGGTCTCGAGGGGCCTGCTGGGTGACAGGACTTCCGGGTCTGTAGCTGGAAGGCTGGCTCAGCATGGCCCACTCCTGGCCCTCTGCTTCCTCTGCAACTGGAGACCTCTTTGACCTTCAGAATCCCCTGATTTAACTGCTCAGCTCCCTGCCTGGTCTCCCTGCCAGTCCCCCCGGAAATGGATAGGTTCTGGGCCACCAGGCAACTCTGGGGAGCTTAGGTTGACAGGTGTGCATTTCTTCCACTTACTTTCCCTTTGAGTGTGGGCTGGGTGTAGTGTTCGTCACACACCAGAGGAGGAAAGTGGGCTTCAGTAAACCAAATTCGGAGAGGAAAACCTCTTTTTCAAGTTTGGATCGTTTCCAGTCGCTTCCCTCATTTGGGGATAGCATGTACTGAAAAAGCAGAACGTGCTTGTGTGTGTAACTATCTGTTATGTCTGCTTGAAACATCTGGAGATTTCCCTTCCCTTGTCTTCGGGGCATGTCTGGTGAGAGCTTCTCACAGCCTTGCCTGCAGCAGTTACTGCAGCCGCCAGCGCCAGCGTAGCACAAGGGAGATGCTCACAAAGGCCAAGCTCATAAGTAAAGAAACCCAGGCTGGCTTTTAAGGTTCTAGGGGCAGGAACAAAGCCTGGAGGTTCAGCCTTAATCTGCCCGGCCGGCTGGCCGGAAGCAACTGCTGGTGTTTCTGTGCCCTCAGCTGACCTTTAGAGCCATGAACACCCCCCCACCCCCGACACCTGCTATTCCCTCACCTCGCTAGGCTCAAGGACAAAGCTGACCGCTCAGGACTTGCCCATGCAGTGCAGTGAACGACCTGGGGTCTCCAGTGTTTCTTCCTTCTCTGTAGAACCAACTGCCCCTATGGCCGGGCTCTTTTGCCCCCCTTCCAAATGCTGCTCCTGTGACTTGGCCATACCTCGCATGGCATGGTGGGGCTGACCTCTTTGACCTTTGCAGGACCTCTATTACCAGTCCTACTCCCAAGTGGGCGTCATGTTCGCCTCCATCCCCAACTTCAATGACTTCTACATCGAGCTGGACGGCAACAACATGGGGGTTGAGTGTCTGCGGCTCCTCAATGAGATCATTGCCGACTTCGATGAGGTGAGGCCATGCAGCAGCATCTCCTTGCGGGGTAGCAGGGATGATTCTTCTTGGACCCAAATCCTGCTTGCGTCTGCTGTGTCTCCATTAGGGTCCAGGACAGCTGTGACAGTTAAGACAGAACATATTGACTCTAAGATAGGGACCAGGGCTGGGCAGCTTCCACTCCGGGTGTACAGGTGGGAACTTCTAGGCCCTTCCCCCACCAGGCTCTGTGCCTTCCCCAGCACTGAAGATCCTCTTCTCCCCAGTGACTATGAGCTTGGCTTCAGGGACGTAGATTGTCCTATGCTTCCTTGATGCCTCTTTCATACCTACTGCGTGACACAAAACAGACCAGAGAGGAGCTGCTGTGCAACTATTTGATGGCCACCTCCTCTGCTGCCCCCTAGTGGATGATGACTATATGACCACTCTCCAGTGTTCAGTGATGCTTAACAGTTTTGTATTTTAATCAAAGCTCATGGACAAGGACTTTTACAAGGACCTGGAGAAGATTAAGACCATTGGGAGTACCTATATGGCTGCCGTGGGGCTGGCGCCCACAGCAGGAACCAGGGTAAGTAATTCCCAGGCCACTTGCTCAGGCCTGGGCCTAGCTCTGTTGCAGATGTTTCTGGCACCCTGGGCAGGTCCCCATACTGGGGTTGGTTTCTCTGTGTTGGATTAGGGGAGAAGATCCTAGGCTATCTTGCCATTAGCCAGGTCCTTCTAGATACCTAGCTTTAGCAACGCCCTCAATTTTAAGCCCTCCTCCCCAGTTATCTCCCTTAGCTCCCAGCCTTGGAATGCTGGAAACTTTTCCCCATAAAGTGGAAACGTGAGAATGAAGTGGGTCTGCAGCTACCAAGGAGATTGGTTCAGTGATTAGTCTCCCAGAGCAGAGTCAGCAGGCCATGTGAAGGATGCTAGTCACCTCTGGTCGCTTCCAAAGGACAGAAGCAGGGGGAAGGCTTCCTGACTCATCCCAGGTCACACCCTCACACCAAAGCTAGACAAAGACATCACAAGAAAGGAAAACCACAGACAGTATTTATTTCTCATAAATGTAAATGCATGGATTCCTCATCAGACGTTATCAAACGGAGTCAAATAGTAAGTAAAATGAATTCTACACAAGGGCCATGGATTTATTCCAGATATATAAGACTGGTGTAACATTCCAAAATGAATTTCTGAAATTCACCCTGTCAACATATGATCCTAAAAATTGATGCAAAAAAAAAAAAATCCATTTGCTTCAACACCCGTTCCTGAATAAAAGTTATTAAACTCAGAAAAAAGGAAACTTCTAACTGCACAAAGAGCATACATAAAACCCCACATCTTAACATTATATCTAATGGAGAAAAACTCCCCAGCCCAAGATCAGAAGCATTGCAAGGATACCCTTCTCACCAGCATTGGTATTAGTATTATCATTAATTTTTAAAGTCAGGATTGTGCTAACTAGTCTAGTCTGGACTTGAACCACCATGTAGCCCAAGTTGGCAAAGAATCCCAATCCTACTTCCTCCAGCTCCTGACTTCTGGGACTGTAGTGTACACCACCATACCCCGTTCTCCCACCACTAATATTTAGCAGCGTTCTGGAAGTTCTAGCTAAGGCCACAAGACAAGAAAAGGAGATAAAACACCTATGTACTTTTAAGGAAGACAGAAAACTATCTTTGTTTGCAGATGACATGATTTTATGTATGTAGAAAACCTGAAAGAACCAATGATGGGTGGGGTGGGGGGATGGGCGAGTGACACTCTTGTAATTAATGAACTAATGAATGAGCATAGGAAGACTGCAGGGTACAGGGTTCAGATGTAAAAGTCAGTCCTGTGTGGTAGCAATGGACACTTGGTATTTGAAGTTACAAACACAACACCGTTTATATTAGCAGTCAAATATAATTCTGGGTATAAATATAGCATGGTATTTGCAAGATCTTTATAAGGCAGACTATTCTGTGTCCCTTCATGGGAAGGATGACTGCTGTCAAGATATCAGTGCTTATAAATTTGATTAGTGAAATTCATCCAGTCTCAATCCAAATTGTATCAGGATACCTCATGACATTGACAAACTGAACTTAAAAAATTTATACTGAAAAACAAAGGATCCAGAAGCGCCAAGACAGTACTGGAGAACTAACTAGAAAGCTACAGCCATCATGACAGTGTAGTGTACTGGGGGATATTTCAAACTGATTAGTGGAACAGGATAGAGTGCCCAGAAGGAGACACATATAACTATGCTTAGTTGGTCTCTATTTTTAATATAACAATTGCATATTCATATGCAAAAATACAACTAAGGTAAAGATGTTCTACTTTTCATAAGATTAATTTGAGTCCAGTGATTAACCTAAATGTAAATTAAAAAAAAAATCTATAAAATTTCTGGACAATAGCATGGGAGAAAATCTAGATGGTCTTGACTTTGGATGGTTCTTTTTAGATATAACACCCAAAGCATGATCTCTGAAAGAAAGGGTTAGTTAAACTTCATTAAATGAAAAGTTCCTACTCTGTAAGCAGTATTGTTGAGAATGAACAGTCAGTCTGCAGGCTGGGAGAAGATTTTCAAGCCACCTATCCGATAAAAGACTTATATTTAAAATTAAAAAAAAATAAGATTAATAAATAGGAAAAATGCCAACCTAGTTAAAAAGTGGGCAGTCTGGATAGGTGTCTCACCAGTGAAGATCCACGGAGGCAAGGAAGCACATAAAAAGAAGGCCTGTATCCTACGTTCTTAGGGAAGAGATGAAAGCTTTGGCGTAGAACTACACTGACCTATTGGAACAGCCAAAGTCCAGAACTCTGGTACCACCAAGTACTGGGAAGGATGAGGGTCAGCAGGAACTCTTGTTCCTTACTGGTGGGAAGGCAGAATGTTGTGGCCTGTGTGGAGACCGTTCGGCAGCTTCCTACAAAGTCAATTAGACCGTTACCACTACCCACATACCCCCACAATTGCAGACCTTAATACTTACCAAAATGAGATGCAAACTCACATCCACTCAGATGCCTATACATAAATAGTCATGGCATCTTTACCCATCATCATTAAAAAACTGAAAGCAAACAAAATTTCCTTCATGAGGTGAATAGATAAAGACATTCTGACATGTCCGTAAAATTAAATGGAAGTATGCAGATGACAAAGAGACACCGTGTGACCTTAAGGTACCGTGTGGCACTGTCTGAAAGAGACGAAACTACAGAGGCAGAATTAGTGGCTTCTGGGTGTGGGGTGGAAGGAGGAATGGCCCAGCAGAGCACAGAGGGGTTTTAGGGCAGGGAAGCTATTGTGTGACACTGTACTGGTGGATGCGTGACAGTATACCTTCGTCAAACCTGCAGAATATCCACTATCAAGGGTGAGCTCTCACGTTGACTGTAGCTGTAGGTTGGCGATAATATGCCAGTATTGGCTCACTGACTGTAGCAAATGATGTGCCGCTGGGATGCAAGAATTTAGCACTATTCAGTTGTGTGCAGAGGAGGTCACTACATGGAGACTCTGTCATCTGCTCAGTTGCATATAAATTAAAGTTCTTTAAAAAATAAAGCCTGTTTGCCAGGCAGTAGTGATGCACGCCTTTAATCCCAGCACTCGGGAGGCAGAGGCAGGCGGATCTCTGTGAGTTCGAGGCCAGCCTGGTCTACAAAGCGAGTTTCAGGAAAGGCGCAAAAAGCTACATAGGGAAACAAAACAAAACAAAACAAAACAAAATAAACAAACAAACAAATAAATAAATAAAATAAAGCCTGTTCAATGTTGTTTTAAGAACATTAGTTCCCCGATACTGAAGACAAAAAGTCTCCTGGATAAATACAATTTAGAAACCTTTGTGGCCATCACTGTTTTACAAATGAAAGGGACTTGGTTGCCCAGGCACACTCACACATATGCAGTTTCAGTCTCCAGGAAGGGAGTTGGCGCCCCTCACCGACATATATCTAAGGTCTTTGTTTGGCTTGTCTGCAACATGTATTGACAGCACTGTCCAAATAGGCATCTGGGCACCTAACATCCCGGTCCCAGGAGCTGTTCCCTATACCTCCAGAGAGGCGTGGTCTGGACTAGCATGGCGTTGGGTGGTTTCTGCCTGGGTCTGGCAGAAGCCATAGTTTGGGCACTATCCTGAGCTCTCTACCTGTAGAATAAGAGAATCAGTGTGTCCCCAGCCAGGTACCAAGAGCACTTGCTATTTCCAGGGCTGCTGTGTTTTGTAGGAATTAAGTCCCAGCCCCAGGACCTGTCCAGGTGGTCCCCGATGCCCTCCTGTGTTGGCACTCACCCTGCACACTTCTGTTCTGTCTCTTCATGCCTAGGCTAAGAAGTCCATCTCTTCCCACCTGAGCACGCTGGCAGACTTTGCCATCGATATGTTTGATGTCCTGGATGAGATCAACTACCAGTCCTACAACGACTTTGTTCTCCGAGTCGGTAGGTGACTCTGGACTCGTCTCTGTCACTGATGGGAGATGCTGGGAGCAGAGTCAGTGTAGGCCTGTGGCGTCACAAGCAAGGGGCCGTGCTGGTCAGGAGCACATGGGGACAGCATTGTCTCTGAAGGGGGTTTGTGGAAGCGCACTGCTGTAGAAAGGGATTTAGGAGTAAGGACTCGTTATGCAGCTCAAGAGACGCAGTAAGCCTCTTCATTCACTGCCGCAGTCACTCAGTATTCTTCGTCACCTGGGCACAGGCTCCTCCATCACCACCCTGGTCACTAGCTAAGGCATGCAGGTCCCTTTGAAAACAGGTTTTGGAGGGGAGCCAGCAGCAGGGCCCCGGCAGTTCCTTCCTTGGCTGTGACTTAAGAGGGGAAACTGTTTGGTACCCAGGGCCTTTTCTCCTGTTTACCAAACCCTGTTAGTAATTTGGCTTTGGAGGCTGGAAGATAGCTCAGTGGTTAAGAGCACTGGCTGCTCTTCCAGAGGTCCAGAGTTTGATTCACAGCAATACGTGGTGGCTCACAGCTATCTATAGTGGGATCTGATGCCCTCTTCTGGCTTGCAGGCATACATGCAGATAGAGCACCCATAGACATAAAAGAAATACATCTAAAAAACAGAAAGAAATTCATCTCTCACCTGAGATGTAGACTGTCAGAAAAACTCTTACTCATCTAGAATCCAGTTACGTTAGAGTTAGATAATTTCTCTTCTTACCTCTCTCTCTCTCTTTATATCCCAGACCTCCCTCCTCCCTGTCTTGTTTGGTCTACAATGAACTGGAGGTCTATGGCCACTTTGCAATGCAAACGTCCAGTAGCCCTAAAAATGGCGCTTGATTGTGCTTGGGTGCAAGGGTGATGGGAGGTGACTGGCTTCACAGCAGGTGGTGTGTCAGTGACCTTAGAAGCAAGCCGTTTCAACAAGGTGTCCCCTGAGGACAGGGGCAGAGCAGCCCTGGCTTTTCCTGGGACCAGTCTCCTCCCGGGCCTCAGGCTCAGTGCAAATGCTAATATGACAAGGTACAGACTGGATATGTAGGAAATTCCTCTGTCCCGGCCCTGGCCCCTGGGTTGGTCCCACAGGGAGATTGGATGATAGTCCCTTATGGCTCTACTTCCAAGCTGGTCAGCCCCTGCCCTGGTTCCCCTACCTAGGTATAGGTGGCCGAGATTCACAAAGGTAGCTCCTAGAATCCTATCAGCCATTTGAGAAGTGGCCCAGGGTTGTCCTCCAGGGCCACCAGGCTTGTGCCTGTGACTTCAGAGGAAGTTCAGAAACATTGGCTCACACACCCAGATAGACAGGCAGGAAGTGGCATCCATGCAGGCCAGGCAGCCCCAGTGGCAGGGGTAGCTACCTGCAGGCTGTCACGAGAGTACAGCAGATGTCCCACTAAGGCCAGGCCAGGCCGGGATGGCACAGAGCATTTACAGGGAAAGAAACCCACCCAGAGAAGGTGAGCACTTTGCCAGAGTTCTCACAAATGGTAACTCTGACTTCAGTGTACCTGGACCAGAGGAGATGCTGTGGAGCCGTGCAGGTCCTTGAGGCCAACTGGACCCTGACCTGTAGAAAGAGATGGGGTTCATGACCTCCTCTCTGGACATCTGCATTTGTACTTGGTGCTAGGGCCCCCACTCTGAGCAATATCCTAGGAAGCTACTACTATGTTCGGGGACAGAGGAGATGTACCTGGAGGTAAGGCACACTGTGACCTCCAGAGCAGGACTCTGCACAAGGTACAAAGTGGCAGTGATGGAGAAATATGTCCTTCTAGTGAGAATCCACTCCACACAGGAAGAAGAAGGAGGAGAAGAAAGATCTTTGATGATAACATGTGTCTAGCTCTGGCTAATGCCCAAAGAGGAGCTAGTGAGGAATAGAAGATTTTTTCCCCTAGCTTACATAGACCTTAGGCTTGTGCATTTCATATGCACTGTCCTCCCTAAATCTCTCCCAGATCCCGGCCCCAGGTACACAGAACAATTGAAACTGAGACCAGAGACAGCAAGTCTGGCCCCTTGGGCAAATGGGAGATTTACACAGCAAAGAGATCGCCAGAATTCTTTCTTAACTACACCAGTGTTGTTCTTTTCAAATAGTTACCCTGGTTCATCTTGCCCACTTGGCAGAGTTAGGCTTTTCCTGATAAGATCACCACAGGGGATTTAATGGAACACCAGGGCTTAAATGTGGTTGTGACCCCAGACTCTGCACCCTTGAGCTGCCCTTAGAGGCATGCTCTTTGATATGGGGATGGGCCTAATGGCTGGGTTGTCTCCTTCTGTTATGGGGATGGAGCCTAATTAGAGGTCAATCTTGGTGAACAAACCTGACCAGAAATTTTCTCAGCAACTCTAAGCAGCAACTGAGGTACCAACATCTCTTCCTGGAGTTTCTAACAAGCCCGTTCGCACACTACTCACCTTCTAAGTAAGTTTATTAGTTAAAGCCTTTTTAGCGTCAATTTTATTACTTCAGGCTGGGGCTTTTCCTTGGGATTAGGAACTGCTTTGATGGCCAGTGCTGCTGCTGGTATGGTGGCAGATGCTGGGTGGGCGGCCCCTTGGCCTACCTGGGGAAGTCTGGACTGGTTTGGACTGGTTTGGATTGCTACCACCTGTGTTAGGCTGGAGGCCCCCTTTAGAAAGGAGGCTGGCTCTCTGTGGCCCTCAAGCCGAGACTGAAGGGTATGCCTTTTCACAAGGAACAGCATCAGTGCCCAGGCTACCCGATGACACTCTTCCGGCTGCCCACAGGCCATTCTGTGGCTATTTTCCAGGCATCAACGTTGGCCCTGTGGTGGCTGGAGTGATTGGCGCTCGCAGGCCCCAGTACGACATCTGGGGAAACACAGTCAATGTGGCCAGTCGGATGGACAGCACTGGGGTCCAGGGCAGAATCCAGGTAAATCATCCAGAAATCCCAAAGACACGGGGACCCATTCAGCTGGTAAGGACATTGAGGCATCAAGGATCCTGGGGTCTGTGGCCAGTGAGTGGCAGGGCAGATCAAGCTGAGTATCCTGGTGTCTGCCGGGGAGCTGGACGACACTGTTAAGCCTGACCGATTGCTTTTGCTGTTTGATTTTTTTATGCAGCCACTCCTGAGTGAGCAGATGTAAACGTGAGGATCCCAGTAAATCAGGGGGCACTAAGTGGCCTGACAGTCTGGCTTACCTCCCCTCCCCCCAACTTTATATCCCAGACCTCCCTTCTCCCAGTCTCCTTTGGGCTACAGTTAACTGGAGGTTTATGGCCACTTTGCAATGCAAACGTCCAGCATCCCTAAAGTGCTCTCCCTAGTTTCAAAATCATGGTCACAGTTGGGCTTGGTGGTACACACCTTAATCCCAGCATTTGAGAGGCAGAGGTAGATGGATCTCTGTGAGTTCGAGGCCAGCTTGGTCTACAGAGGGAGTTCCTGGACAGCCAGTGCTATATTGTAAGATGCTGTTTCAAAAGCAACAAACAAACAAAAAATCAGGGTCACTATTCAGCTGCTGTAGGAGCATAGGAGGGAAGAGATGTTTCTCCTCTGTTTGAAGAGGAGGATGGTGAACACGCCCTTGTCTGAGGAGCTTCACTCAGATAGGACAAGACTCAGTGGCTATGATATCTTCTAGGAGCCACTGAAAGGTGGGCTTATGATCCTCATCACTGTGGGGATAGTCCAGCTTTTAGTATTTCCCCTTAGAATAACAGGAGACCTGCCATTTAGATGTAGCTCTGTTTGGTTGCATAAAGCAACCTATAAACCTATAAATGGTGCCTTGGCCTCTTGCCACTTACCAAAAACTGCAGCCTTCCAGGGTTTTGGAGGGACATTCTTATTATTCTGGTGCGTTCTTCCTGGTTTCAGGACCTGTAGGAAGCAGACACTGAACCCAGGACACTTGAGAGGTAGTGCAGGTCCCCTGCTGTGCCTAGGCCACTGTTACAGAGAGGGTTTTCTGACTCCATAGTTACGGAGTTGTGGCCTACTGGGCATTGATCCTTCAGCTTACCCCAAAGTTTCCATCATCCCGCAGCACAGTGAGGTACAAGCACGTGACCCAGCTTCTAGTTCCAGCACCAAGTCCCAGTGCCCCTTAGCAGCTCTGCGTTTTTTGCATTGATGACATGTCTTTTGATTTTTTTTTCAGATTTCTTTTATTGTGGTAAAATACACATAAAATGCACTGTCTTCACCAATGACATGCATAACTTTGTGTGCCGAGGAGCATCCTCATAGTGGTACAGCTACCACTGCTGTTCTGTCTAGGACATGGAGTCTGCTGTCACCTTGGAGAGTATGCTTACACTCCCCTCCAGCCTTCCCTGGACCAGTCATTGCCAAGGGAGGCTTCCCCCTTTTGTTACTGTAGTAAGATGTCCTGGCAAAAGCGACTCACTAGAAAAAGGGTTTCTCTTAGCTCACGGCTGTTCTAGGTACAGCCCATCAGGACAGAAGTCAGGCCAGCAGGAACTTGATGGCACTGCGTGTCTGCAGTCCAAAGAGCAATGGTGCATGCGTGCTGGTGCTCGGCTCGATTTCTCCGCGTACACAGCCCAGGCCCCACCTACAATTAAGATGGGTCTTCCCATATCAATTAACATCCTCAATTAATCCCCCACAGGCAATTCCCAGAGACCCTCTTCCCAAGGATTCTAGACTCTGTCCAGTTGACCATACTAAACGTCACACCACTGGCATCCCTTGTCAACTCGAGGCTCAAACACAAATCCCTTCTGAGCCACAACCTTCCATTCCTTGGTCCCATAGGCGCAAGACCATGTTAAAGTGTATTCCAGCCAAAATAAAAATCTTCCATAGTCATTAGTGGCAACAACAGTGTAAAAGTCCAAATATCAAATTTCAAAAGTTACACTCTTCCAGCATGTACTGACACAGAGTAAACATGCCTCTTCGAAAATGGAAGAAGCCGGGTGTAGCAAGAAAGTTGTACCAAAGCAAAACCAAAATCCAGCAGGGCCAACGCTAAATCCTATATTGAGTATTCAAGGTTCATAATGTAATCAGCTGGGCCCCTAAATGTGTGGGTAGACCTCCCCCTGTAGCTCTGCACATAGTTCACGGTTTAGCCAGCCCTCCTTGCCCACAGCCCTCCTTGCTGGATGTCCCACCTTGGCTTCTCTAAGAGCCAGGGTCTCCATTGCAATTGAGGCCTCACCTTAACAGCTTCCCGGAGTGCACAGTAGCCTCTTGGGACCTCTATGCAGGGACTCCGACCCTGCCTCATGTTGCCAGGCTTTGACTGTACTCCAGACTCCCTCAGTCTTTCATCCTCTATGCCTTTAAAACCAGCACACATAGATGACCCTGCCAAGCTCTCTCTGCCACTCTCTCTCAGGATGGAGCCCAGACTCCTTGGACCAGCTATCTCTGTTTCACCTGACCCTAGAGAAGCATTTATTCAGGCAGTTGTGTTCAAGGAACAGAGAACACCATTAGCCAGGCTTCCTTTTCATTTAAATAAGTTGGGATTTTTACAAAGTAATGGGTAAAGTTTTGCCCTCCGGCCGCCACTGCCATTGCAGAGCATTGTAGATGGCTTCTCTTCAGTCCTGCTGATCTCTTTAATAATCACAGCTGCTTTCTTCACACCAGGCTAAATGCCCTCATCTCCTTAAATTTCCCCTGCCAAGTGAACCAGCCCATTATTTTTAAATTCTGCTTCACCCAGGTTCTCAGGACACAACAGAATGGAGGCAGATTTTTGGCCAAAATACACAGATGGTTGTTAGCCCAGTGCCTGATGGAGTCCTTGATACCCCCTGAAACACCATGAACCTGGCCTCCATGCTCCATATTTCTCTCAGCATTCCTGTTTACCAAATACCAAAGAAATGGCCCATTAAGCTCTGCTTCCAATATTCAATGGCTTTTCTAGCCCAGAGTTTTAAACTCTTACATATTCCAGCTGTGTGTAACATCCCAACAGCTTAAGAACCACACAGGTTTATCACAGCAACAGCATACTTCTTAATTTGGACTTCTGTCTTAGTTTCATTTTCTGTTGCTATGGTAAAATGTCTGAATAAAAACAACGTATTAGGATTCTCTAGAGGGACAGAACTGGTAGGATAAATATATATTAAAGGGGGTTTGATTAGATTTTTTTTAATACTACATGGTCTGGGTAGTCTAACAATGTCTGTCTTCACATTGGAGAAGCTGAGAGTCTTGAGGCTGGATTTCTCAGTAGTCCTGGGCTGCTGCTGCTGGCCTGGAAGGTTGCTGGAGAGCTACCAGTCTTCATTCCACACTGGAAGGTCAAAGAAGCTGCATTCTAATGTTAGCAATGGCAGCAGCAGCAATAGGGCAGATGGTCTCACAGCAAGATGCAATTAGGGTAGATGACCCTTTTGGTGGCATGGGAGGGCAACACAAAAGCAAGCAGCAAAAGCAAAGCTCTTCCCCTCAAACCGTCTTCTGTCTGTCTGCCACTGGACCTGTCACTCACATTTACGGTGGGTCTTCCCCCTTCACATAACCTGGTTAAGGAAACCCCTTATAGGTGTTCCCACTAGCTTGCCTTTTAGGTGATTTCCTGATTTAGCAGTTGACAACCAATATCAACCATGAGAGTTGACAACCAATATCAACCATGACAGTTGACAACCAATATCAACCATGAGAGTTGACAACCAATATCAACTATGACAGTTGACAACCATCACAGTTTGTGATAATCAATACCAACCATCACAGTTTGACAACCAATATCAGCCATCACAGTTGGCAACCATCAGTTGATAACCAATATCAACCATCACAGTTGACAAACAGTATCAATCATCACAGTTGACAACCAATATCTACTATCACAGAGCCCATCCTGTATCCAACTGAGCTGTTGCCTGAAGCCAACGTTGCATCTCTTACTAGAATCTGCTCTGAGCTTGACTGTGGCCCAGCTCCTCTGCCCCAAGTATGGCTTCCCACATGACCTTCTTCAAAGGTCTCCCTGTGACACCCAATGCCTCAGTCTTCCTTCCCTCTTCTAGGCATCCTAGAGTCAGATGTAAGTTCAGGGTTGCAAATAAAGAGACCACCATTCCAACTGAAGTGTCTGGACAAGGCAAACTTTACTCTTGATCAAAAGGTGCACTCAAAAGAGCAAACACCAAGACAGGAAGTGCATTTGGGTTGTATTCTAACTCAGGTAGTGACTGTGTCTTTTCCCCGTTGGCTGGGGTCTAACCGCACAGTCTGTTTGATTAGTCTGAAAAGAAAAAAAAAAAAAATGGCTCACGGGAAATAAAGGAGGAAGGGAACGGGTCCACTACTCTAGGCCATCAAATTACTGGAGACCGCAGTCAGTCTTTGTGTAGACAAATGTTTTGCAGGGATTGAGGATTAAAATATTTGCATAAAACTCTGACGAGGTAGAGGAGACAAAAAGGTTTGAATTTTTTGTCCTAAACATACATTTTCTAGTATTTGATAGAAAAGGCTCATAGTTGGTATCTCTTACACTAGTGCTCAATTCAATGGGGAGGACCACCCTCCCCAGCTCTGCCAAAGTGTGAAAAGGTAGCTGGAGACAATTTCATTGTTTGAACATAAATAGGAGGAGACAAGGAGGTAGAGAGGCCTTGTGTACTGGCTTAGGGCAATGCCCAGGATCAGGTGTATCTCATCCTTTATCTTTTCTTTGGTTTGGGGAGGCAGGGATTATTGGGGGCAGGACACTGGTCTGAAGCCTGAGAAAAGAGAGCTAAGAGATGGCCATTTTCTCCTAGCTTTGCCCTCTGTGTGCTAATGACCCCTACCAAAGGCCCCATTTAGTAGCTACACCCCAGCAGACCCCAACAACTAAGGCTGCCAGTCCCAGTAGTGGGATAAAAGCACCTACCAGACTCTACTTTGCTGAGCTATCTGGAGTCCCCAGCCAGAGAGCCTGCCTCTGCCCCTCTATCCTTAACATTGGGGCTCGTCACACATAGACCCTGGCTAGTACACAAAGTGGCCACAGTGGCTCACCCAAGCCCTGCTGGGTCCTTAGCCCCCGTTGCTCCCACTTGCCCAGATACAGAGTAGTTTTGTCCAAGTACTGCTGGGATTGAACAGCCAGGATGGAGAGTGGGGTGCAGGGTAGAGGGTACACTGGGGAGCTCCTGTCCTCCAGAGGACCCTCATTGTGCGTGACTTAAGACTGTTGACTTCTTTCCACTGGCAGGTGACTGAGGAGGTCCACCGGTTACTGAAGAGGTGCTCATACCAGTTTGTGTGCAGAGGCAAAGTCAGCGTCAAGGGGAAGGGAGAGATGCTAACGTACTTTCTAGAAGGCAGGACTGATGGAAACAGTTCCCATGGCAGGACCTTCCGCTTGGAGCGGAGAATGTGTCCTTATGGGAGAGGCCAGCCCAGACGGCCCCCACTGTGTCCTGGAGCTGGACCCCCAATGAGGCCGGGGCTTCCCCCAGCCCCCGCTGGTCAGTTCCTGACATCCACAGCAGCAGGGAAGGAAGCCTAGTGGAGCCCATGGGCCACTGGAGATGCATGCATAGCAAGAATGCTCCAGGATGACACACGCCATCATGGCTCCAGCCAAGACCAGCCAGAGGAGCAGTTGCTAAGTGGCTGGGCTGGAGAAGAAGCATCGTCTAGGTGTGGCCTGAGGCCAATGGGAGATGTGCCCAAGCTACCCACTTGGGGCATATGGAGCCCTGTCTCTTCCTAGTGACCTGGTTATGCCTGGCTAGTGTTGGCATCGGTGGGACCTTGGGAATATCTTCCATGGTCAATGGCAAAAGCTGTGGAGGTCCATCTGGCAGAGGAGCCCACCACGACTGAGCCCCAAGTCAGCCTGGCTTATGGGTGGCTCCAGCCCTGGTAGGCCCTGGCTTATGGGTGGCTCAAACCCTGGCTAGAAGATTCGAGTACCAGACTGGGAAGTTGGCCCCGCTGGGCAGGGCCATCAAAGTTGAGTTGTTTATACCATGGGCACAGCTTAGGGCTCGTCAGGTCTCGGACAGGACAGGAAGAATTGAAAAGCCACCTCTTACTGCATGAAGAGTGATGTTGTTGGCTTTCCTCAAGAGTAGGCTTTTGCTAACAGCCAGAGGCAGGTCTTCTGGAATCCTCAGGGGGCCCCACAGCGCCCCCCCCCCAACTTCTATCCTCCTGGCCTGTGCATTCTCTTCCAACCCCACTTGCCTGCTGGTCTCTGACTCCTGTGACAGCGAGTCCTCTTCTCCCGTGCTACCACCGCACATTCAGAGAAGAGGGGTGTGTGCTGATTTGCCTTCCCCGGGGTGTCTCGGACACTGTTAAGTGTCACAAAAATCAAGCCTTCATTTATGCTGAGTGATTGGCTCCCTACACCCGCGAGCACTTTCCTTGCTGGAAGACATCATTTCTCTGACATAACCACCCCTCCTCTTGGGGGTTTCGGAGTTGGCAGAGTGTGCGTTCCTGAGTCTTAGGTGTGGTATCCCTGCTCCCGAGTGAAGAAGGGAGTCTCCCATCTGCGCTTTCCCACGACTGCAGCTGAGATGAAAACCGCGAGTGTGGGGAACAGGAGTCTGAAGGAGCTGCTAGGAAGCAATGGGCCCGGAATAGCTGGATGAAACCTGGCTTCTGGAGATACTCAGCCTCACTCACAGGAAGGGAGGCAGCTTGAAACAGGGCAGGTGGGCGTAAGCCCTGCCTGCTCACGGCTGTAGAGGTTCATCTCCTCACTGCTCCCCAAGGACTTTCCCCTGCCTAAGGTCCTGTCTTCTTCGACTAGGGCAGAGCTTTCCCTGGCAGGGTGCAGATGTGGGGGTCCCTGGTTCCCAACTCAGCTCTGGCTCAAGTGTGTGGCCATGCTGGGGCCTGGGTAGTTTCACAGGTCAGCCAGCGCCCATCCTGGGAGACTCAGGCGAGGCTAGACTCAGGTGGCATGTGTCAAGCGAAGGAGAGAGGCGGAGGCTGCGTGCACAGTCTCCAAGTACCTGAGACTGTAGGCTGTACTGCAGGTGCCCTAGGGTAGGGGTGAGGCAGCTGGGAAGACTGCATATTCTCTATGGGCTGGAGCTTGTGGTTGATGGTAAAGGTACCCTCTGGCACCTTCTGCAGAGGAATGTTGACCTGTGCCCACCCTGTTTTGTTGCCTTTCTGATGATAGCATAGCAGGCAGTGTGGTATGGCCATCGTTTGCTGCCTTTCTGTCATTCTGTCCTGGCTAGAACCCGGAGCCGGGGCCAGACTGACCCCCGCACTCCACTGTAGCGTCCAGAGCTGGAGAGCCAGGAGCTTCAGCCTCTTCCGGTGGTCATGTCTACTTCCTGTGGCTTGGCATTTTGATATAGCAGTGCTGGGGGGATGCCGGCTCCAGTAGGGCTGAGGGCAGGGGAGAGCTTTGGGGTTTCTCATGTGGTCCAGAATTCCACCAGAGATTGCATTTACAGGAAAGCTGCAGGCTGGTGGGGGTGGGGTGGGGGTGGGGGTGGCTCTGAGGAGAGGCAGATTCATCTGAGCCGGAACCTGGCGAAGGCACACAAATTTTCACTCTTTGTGCCTCCTGCCCGCTCCCACGTTTTCCTATCCTTGGGACGAATAGCTTTGCCTCATGGGCTTCTTTTTCCACTAGGACTTTTTCACCTGTCGGTTTGTCTTGACCAGATTTGAAGCAGTCAGCTCAGACAGGAGCACCCAGAGCAAGTGAGTTACGTTGGAGCCCTGGCTCTGTGGGCTGTGGTCCTGCCCCTGGCCTTCTAGGTCATTAAGGATGGCAGAAAACCTCTAGCGCAGCCTGGGTTTCCTCTGAGTGGCTACGGGGCCTCCAGAGCTCCTGTGTGCCTGGGCTGTCCGGGTTAGGCAGGGAGGCATGGTTCTCAAAGATGATGCCCACAGGATAGCCCCAGGCCTTGTGTGTGTCGGCCAAGGAGCTTCACGGGGGGACTTGGGGTGGCCGCTGAAGGATGAGAACGGATCCTGGACTGCACCATTGGGGTTGGTGCAGACACATGGCCTCTCAGAAGTCAACAGAAGGATGGACAGGCTGGGAGAGGTGTGAAGCATACACTGAAGAGACCTGTGAGGAGGGCACCACAGCTCCAGCCAGCAGAGAAGCCAGGATGTCACTCCCACAACCCACAGGGAACTGAAATTGGCCCTCGCCTGAGTAAGCAGCAGGCAGATCACCAGAGCCATCAGGAAGGAGCCCGGTGACACCTGGATCTGACCTCTAAGACTCGAAGCAGAGCCAGCCAGGGCCTGTAGTGTTGCACGCACATGAAGTGTGCAAAATGGGGATCACATGGGTGCTTGGGCAGAGCCACCCACAGTGTGGTCAGAGCCAGAGAAAGCAACCGTATAGGATGACATTGCCTTCTCTGGGCACAGAACTGTTCCGAAGTAGACCGCACAGGAGCCTTGGCTGGGTCTCTTCTTCAGGGGCGACATCTCCATCATCAGCAATTCCAAACCCGCCTACTTCTTGTGAGGTCAGGAACCACACGTGCAGCCATAATGTTCCTCCGGGTTTGGTGACAAATGACTTTCTTTTTATTTGTGATAAAAATGTATTATATTGCCTTATTTATTTTTAATCTTGTACAATATTCATGTACAAATGTTAGAGCCATTTGGGTAGGATTCTCTCCAAATTATTTATTTTAAGATGCTCTGTAAATAGTGCACCAGTTACAGGTGCTTCCTGTTCACTTGTACCAAAAATGAGGAAAAGCCTGGCACCCACGTCAACCCTTGCTTGCGATGCTGTGGCCCTTGGGAAATGACCCCTTTGTGTTCCCTTCTCAACCCTAGCATGCCTCCCGTGCCTGACATTGTAGAGTAGAACCCAGCCCCAGAATGCTTCCAAACGCTTCCATGGACTGTGCCAACCTGGGACGGTCCACTCCTGGAGCGTCTCTCCCTGCAGGTGTATGTCCCCCACACACCCAGCCACCCACTCGTTTCTCGGACTCCCAAGCCACCAGGGCTTCCGGACCCCTTCTGTCATAGAAGCAATAACCATAACTCTATACTGTAGAGACAAGTCTGGCCCAAGCAGATGGATACTTCGGAAACTACCCATGCATGTGAGTTTGCTATAGAGGACTGTCATTCCAGGTCCCCACCCCTCCCAGAAGGCCCAGCTCTAGCTTCTTGGTTTCTGGAGCTTGGATTGGTACCCCCAGATAGCTGAGCAGACTGAGCCAGCCACCAGTCCTGAGCCCTACATTATTGCTCACTAAGGAATAAAGCTTAGGGCAGCCATCCGACCCTGTATCTGTACCTATCCTTGAGTCGTGATGCTTCATCTGACTGAGGGTAGTAATGGTTTGTTTCAGTGGTGTGAGCATCAAAAGGTAACATTTCAAGGCACTCATGGAATACTATTCAAAGAAAACGATGCCATAGTCAAGGTTGCACATCTCACTTTTATCGGTGCCATCCTGGTAGGAGAAGAGCTCTGTGTTGGAGAGGATGATTCCTGAGGTTATAACAGGAAAGGGCTAGGAAGGGAGCCCTGACTAGCATAAAGGATTCGGACTGTGGGCTTAGTTGGTGGATGTGGCCAGCCTTCAGAGAGTTCACATTTTATTTAAGTGCAATCTGAAGGACTCTTGTGCCATAACATGTCCTAACATCGACCTACAGAGGCTGTGTAAATGACTTGCTTTAATGGGCTGGGTAAGAGGGGAGCAGATTGGATTGTGGAATCAGGGAAGGTTTCATTTGATTCTCCCAGCCATCACCACTCTCAACAAGGTAGGTTCTAGGACTCTCCGAGTCTCAGGGATCTTGTTCATAGCCTGTACAGTGTTCAGTCGATGGTGTTGGGGGTTTACAGAGCAGGTGTGTACCTTGCACAGGGAGCATAACAGTTGCAGGGAAAGAACATTCTATATATTGCTCACCTATCAGCACCATGAGAGGCTGCAGAAGTGATGCTCATATATTACTTTATTGAATGGTTGTATATAGGTAACCCCCAGAAACTGACTTGCTCATGCTTTTTAGTGGCTTCAATTTTTAAAGAGTGCTCTTACATGCACATATACACAAAACAAAACAAAAAAACCCAAAACCTTCTCCCAGTTGTTTGCCTTGGTAAAATTAATAAAGAACAAATCTAGCAGCTTGGGTGTTATGTGGGCCCTGAAGCATCTTGCTTCTCTGACTGTGATTGGCTTTTGGTTTCCATTTTGGGTTTGAACCAATAGCTCATTTTCATTTACAACTACAGGCTTGGAGGTAGGTTGATGGTTAAAAGTGTGTGTGTGTGTGTGTGTGTGTGTGTGTGTGTGTGTGTGTGTGTGTAGGCTGGGCGTTAGAGGAGTTGCATTGGGTGGACTTAGATTCAGGGATCTGCTTGCTGGTGTGATGGGACCCAGAGTTCAACAGGCAAAATCGGAGCTGCCCTCAGCTGACCTGGGGAAGCTAACCTCTGTGTTTCGGGCAGAATGAGGTCTCTATTTAGGAACTGAGACTTCTAGATAACGATCTTGCTCATGAATCATTCTGAGCTCTTTGGCACCAGAGAGGAAATGTGTTAGGATGTTCACAGCTGCCAGGATGAATATGGTGGAAATGGAGGCTCTTTGGCCCTAAGCAACTCTCGGTGCCTGTGTGGTCAACTGGTACCACAGGAGGCCAGTGTGGACCCAGAGGCACAAGGCCTAGAGCCCAGGAGCCTTCCTAGGGGAAGGCAGAGGGTGTGAGGCCTGGTCAGAGGAGCTCCACCTGGAGGGTAGGGAGGGCACAGAACTAAAGGGCACATTCAGGAAGGCTTCTGCTGCTCACTGGATGGAGAATTCTGGGGAGTTTGATGTCCACATGTAGATGATGTGGGGTGGCCTAGTCCTGCTGGTGGCTGATGACAGCCGCACAGGGTACTCCTGCCTGGGGCCTGTCTGTGATGCTCTAGGGACTGGAGGCAAGGAGGATGTGATGGGCTGTAGCGGCTGTTTCCTCTCACAGGGTCAGGTGCACAGTAAACACCACCTCACAGACACAAGAGAATCAGGCAAGGCAGGTGTCTGCACCCTCAGGTTCTGCCTCCCCAAGAACCCAGGGGGTACTTTGGATATATCTGGGGTCTCCAGCAGCCCTGTGTGCTCACTCCTCGGAAAGGCAGGTCCAATAATAGGATATGAGATTTGTCACTCTGGGGTCCATTTGGTAAACACTTCAGATCCAACTTCAAGTGCCACGTTCTGTCACTATAAACGATTATCCAGTCAACAGATCATTATGTAAAGACTAAGACGTTTGGATTTTTTATGTTTTCTTACTGTTTTAATCCATTCTGTTCCACACAGACCAGATTTGTCCAGTAGCTTGAAAAACAACAAACCACTCCACTCGGGGCCATACTTAGTTCAAATCAATGCGTGCTCCTGTGCACATGTGTAAACATGTGTGTGCATGTCTCATACAACATAAATTCTCCCTAGGAGTAAGAAGATTAACAGCAGGACCAAAACTAAATTTGAATACAGTCAGCTGACCATCCTTTGGGACACTTAGCATCCCATAAACTGAGGCAGCACCTGCCAATTCCCACCCTCCATTGGGGGGGATGGGTGGAGGATGGGCACTTGTCCCTGAGCTACTGTCCAGTAAGGACTGCTGACTCTCTTTTGCAAAGAGACTGCCATCATAGCATTCAGGCCCAGGTGCATTGAGGCAATCTGTTGCTCCTATTTCTTTTGTCTTGTTGGTTTGAGGGTTTGGGTACATGTGGCGTACTGTGCAGAGATGCCAGCGTGAGTGTGTATCGAAACTCTTGAGGGAGGAGCAAAGTGGCACCCACCTCAGGTACATGAGCCCTTTCCTACCCTCCAAGTTATAAGAGCTGCCGTGGAGGCCACATCCTCCACCTGGTATGTCTGTCAGCTGCCACCCATCTGCCTTGTACAGTGGGAAGAACAAGACTCAGGAGGCTAGCACGAGTTGTGGTTCATAAACTGTCTTAAAATTCAGAAAATGGACCACTGTCATGCCACATCCTCTGTCCTGACAAGTGTTAAGTCATTTAAAATCTAATGAATGTACTGAGTTTTCTCTAGCATGCTACTAACCTGCTAAGTCCACAGTCAACCACAGGGAGGTCAGTCATCATTGTCCCATTAGTTAACATCTTTGGGGGGGGGGGTTGATATGTGGGTAAATTGATCAAACATTCATTGCTAGTCTTCCCATGTAGCTTTGCAATTCCTGGGCATCCACGTCCGTGAACAGCCTGTGGAGGAAGTGGTATAATACTCAAATACATGTTGTCCTGAGACTGCAACCCAGAGAGGGAGAGGCCACGCCTCATCTGTTCTGGCCGACCTGTGTGTTTTCTCTTCCGGCTAGGGTCTCTGCTAAGCAAATGGCATTCTGTAAGGACTGGGTCATTGTTGATGCTATTGACTGTACATAATGCCTACCGTGGTGCAGGGCACCTCATGGAGGCGCATCCCTTGTGGGCAAGGCTTGCTTACATCCCACGTTTGGAGTTTGTGGCCAAGTGCTGTTTGTTTCTGTAGTCCTTGGCTTCTTGTTGCTAAATTAGAGCCATCTGTTTCCGTTCAGATCAGTTGCGCGCCTCTAGAGTTACAGACACCCGACAAGAACTTAGAACACCCAGCTTCAGCGGGCCCTGCTTTGCCGTGCCCTTGAGATTCTAAAACTTTCTGAAACACAAACTGTCATCGTGTTCAGTGGGATCTTCTTAAAGCACTCTTTTCTGTAGAGCCCAAACCACACACTGGCTTTCCCCCTTCACACAGCCAGCCTGGCTCCAGTTACAGCTCTGACCTTCAGTGCGCTACAACCATTTCTAGCATATGCTTCCGGCAGCCACAGCAGTGAGGGTGCCTTCCCAGGGATTAAAGGAAAGTTTAGACAAAATTCCCCAGGATTGTATAGAAAGCATCGAAGGGACTATGATGGATGACAGGAAGTACGTCAGCCTCTCAAGTACAGGGATCCCACATGCCTTCTAAGCTTTACCTCCTGACGCCAGGCAGCATCCACTTCAGATACATTGGTTTCCAAACATTTCCCGCCACTTCCTGAGAATTAGCATTTCAGTGGAGATGCTATCAGAGACTGATTCCAGAAATCTCTTAGGCTTAATCAACTCTTAGGCCAACAGTTGCGGGCCACTCTGTCTGCCTGTGGGTGGTGCCCCCCTCCCCCACGGCCCTGCCATGGGAAGTGGACTTGACAGCAGCCAGAACTTGTCTCTCACCTCCCACCAGCAGCCTCCACTCAGCCCCAGGCCCCAGGCCCATGAAGCACAAGTCTCAGGGGACCGTTCCCATCCTGTGGGGACCCCAAGGGAGCCCCCAACATCTCTTGCATCCACCACTGGCAGTGTGGGCACAGCTGGCCACCAGGAGCACACATGCCTGGGGGGAGGGGCCTGCTCAGTTGCCTTCATCCCTGTTAAAATTGAGTATATGCAAGCCATGTGCACTTGGGAATTGCATGCCCTGAAATTCCTAACTGTGTGCACCTTAGTTTGAAGTTGACATTATGTAGCATGCCCAAAAGAACGGGTGGGCTTGGGCTTGTCCTCCAGTCACCTCTACTGCTTGTTGGGAGCGCCTCGTTCCCCTCTGCCAGCTGACCCCAGGTTTGGGGGAACCGGTGTGGCTCCAGCACTTACTGTCCACTGTCTCCCTTCAGCCCGTGCTCCCTCCCCCACCGTCCTCTCACCTAGGGTGATTGCTCACCAATTTGCACAAATAGGAATGCCATTATGTCTTAGCAGTAATTCCATCTTGATTTTTAAATAAGCCCAAAGCCCACTTCTGGATTTCCTTACTTTAAAAAAGAAAAAGAAAAAAAAAAAAGCATGTAAGCACCTGTGTCCTGTGTTTAGCAAGAAGGCTTTGAGTCCCTCAGTGGGATGGAGGGTGCATGGACAAAGGGGGCATTTTCTCCCACGCAGTAAACCTACCAGATGCGTCCGTAGCTGTGAGAACGCAATGATTATAGTCACAATAACTCACTATCACTGGGTAACCTCTCACAATAGATTTGTATAATCAATACGGGTCTATTTTTATGTCAACTCTGTAGAGCACCTTCCAGTCTTTTTCAAGATTGTTAAATTGAGACAAGTAATTGAATAATTTGTCCTATTTTTATTTAAAAAGTGAATGGACTGAAATGTTAATGTGAATGTACATTTCTTAACTGCAACTTTTCTACTGAGTGTTTGCACTATACTCTCTGGAGTCTTATTTAACAAAAATAAAAGAGAAAAATTGCTTGACTAAACGCTGGCCGTTCTCATTGAAAGACAAATGTTTTGAAGCCATTCCTGACTCTCTTCATGCACATTCGAGGGGCGGGTGGGGCCATTATTATTCAAAATGTCACACAAAGTCATGTTCATTTTTTTTCTTTACCGGAGCTAAGGACCGAACCCAGGGCCTTGTGCTTGCTAGGCAAGCGCTTTACCACTGAGCTAAATCCTCAACCCTCATGTTCATTTTTACACCACCACCCTTTCACTTTTCTTGCCTGGATTTTAGTCATAGATTCTGTGACCCTCATGACTCAGATATTTCTCTGATAACATTTCAGTGTTGTTATGGACTCTCCAGGCTTCTTGCAGTCTGGGTAGCCAGTCAGTAGTATTACTTCTTGGATCTTTCAGAAATTCTTCTAGCTAAGGACTCAGTAATTTTATTTATTTTTCATTTTACTGTCTGTGAAGTCTCCATCGTCTCCATACGTGCTAGGCAAGCATTCTGCTCTTGTCTGTATCCCTGCTCCTTGCCCCTTCTTAAAAGATTAAAAAAAAAAAAAAAAGTCACCCGAGCACAGCACTAAGCTGGTGATAGGTTTCTTTCAAAAGTGAAAAATTAACCCGTCCCGGGTTAGCAGAATGGTGCAGGATCACGTCCACAGTCACACTTTGAAGTTGTTTTTCCTTTGTTGTTTGGAAAGTTCTCCAGAGCAAGGAGCAGGAGGGAGGGAAGGTGGGTGGGTGTACTCTGGTATGGGGGGGGGGAATGCAAAAACAGAGCTTAGCTTCAGGAACTGGCTCATGTGACTGGGGCGGGCCTGTCTGAAGCTGCCTGAGGCCACAGAGCAGAGACTGAGGAGGAGCATAGTTTGCAGCTTGCACCTGACTGCACCCTTCACAGCAACATCTGTATGGAGTCCCGATAGACTACTGGAGGGTGGCCTGATCAAAATGACCCGGAATTAACTATCAACATAGATGATGTACAGTTTTTCTCTGTTAACTGCCTCCTTAATGTCAAATAAAACCATGTCCTAGGAAAAGGATGTTTTAAAGTTGTGGAATGAATATTCCAATAGATTTCAAAAAGGTGTATATGGAATTATGGAAGGTCTGAGATTAAGAAATAGAATGTAGCAGGAACATGGTCATCAGTAGAACTGCTAATTAAAGGAACTCAAATTGAAAGCACTATTGTGCCGTACCCACCTTACTGGGATGACATTTTTTAGAAAGATAATAAATGCACCATTAGGAAATCTGCTATGAGATCACACTTGTACACTTGGTCACAGGGAGTTAGTCATCATTTGGTAAATGGTCACAGGGATCACAGGACGTTAATTCCTTTAGTACGGTAAAACCACTCCAGGATGTCCGCAGTGGCCGATATCCTACCAACCCTAATAGATCCCTCATCCACTCCAGGCTTTCATGTGCTGCTGATAATGGTGAACAAACTTCTGAGATGTCCCCCCACCAAGATCCCGTCATCGTCACTTGTAACGGTATGAGGTATCTCTCCTAATTGTGCCGGGGGCTGTATGATCTCATACGCGGACCTCCCTTGCTTCCTGAGAGCAGGAAACCACCCCTGGCTGGTAGCAGAAGGATCAGCTGGAGAGCTCTGAAGGGTGACAGGTTTTGTCCAGTCATGAATGGGTTAGAGGAGCAGTTCTCAACCTGAGGGCCGCAACCCCTTTGACAAAGCCCTATCTCCAAAAATATTCACATTAGAATTCGTAACAGTAGTAGAATTACAGTTGTGACGTAGCAACGGAAATGATTTCATGGTTGGGGGTCACCACACAGGAGGAACTGTATTAAAGGGTCACAGCATTAGGAAGGTTGAGAACCACTGGCTTAGAGGGGTAGCTTAGCTGCATGGCTAGGGAGGAGAAGAGGGTCAGCATCTTGGAGCAGAGCATCTCTACTTGGACATCCAGCCAGAGAACAAAACCTTGGGCCCACAATTGCAGGGAACAGATGAGAAGGACTTGCTCTCCCCGGGGCTCTGGAGCAGGGACTAGCCGGCTTCAGTACTGCTGGACACAAGTAAATCACTCTCAATGTTCATGTAGGCAGTTTTTAAAATAGTACGTCTTTTAAAGTTCGTATCTCCTTGGTTAGACTTTGAGGACCTAATTTTAAGTTGTTAGACTCTGCCCTGATGTCTCAGCTGCCTTGAAAAATGGGATTTTCAGCCCCAAAGAGTAAGACTGCCTTCACCCTACCCACAGAGCTCAGAAAGTTGTAATGCTTGGTGCTGTCGGCCTGAGGGTCCCAGCCTCCAAGTCCTGTTTGAAAACTGTCACACGGGTAGACACTCCTGCCACTGCTGCCGTCAGCTACTGTTGAAGACAACAGCCGTAGCCATGAGCCGACAACCTCAGCGCGTGAAAAATGGTCCGTGGCGTCTAGAGTCTGGAGCAGTAGGCCTGGGCTTGGAGCTGGTTGGTTGCCTGCCCATACCAAAGGTACGTCCCTTCTCCCCACCATTCTGAGTGCATCAGAAAGCCCCCAGCCAGTTATTGGTATCACAAGGAATAGAATCAGTTAACATGAACAGACCTGGGGGTAGATTTCTGTCCAGCAATTCCAGGGAAGCAGTCACCTCAGTCTCACCCTGGGATCCCAGGGAGAACCCCAGCTGAACTACCAGAGCAGGGCCATGGTAAAGGGGTGAGCTGGGAGCCACTGTGCTGCTCAAGATCACTCACCACTGAGCCACAGGAAATGACAGTGCAGCAGGAGGCCCTCGCCTATCAGCGATTTCTTTCTAATCAGAGCAAAGGAGCTGTCCCTCCACGGGGGACCTCAAACCCAAGGCAGGCATGCCACAGGATTAGAAATTAGTTCCCTAACCACACTCCATAAGAAATGGGTGGCAGTGTTGAGGCACTGTGTGGAGGAGACAAGAGTGACCGCAAAAGATCAGATAGAGGGAAAAACCGCTCCGAGATTGAGGGCATTGCAAGTTGGAACTGCCAGGAAGCGGAGTGTTCTAGTTTTTTCTTGTAGGTTTTAGGGTTGCTGTTTTGCAAAACATGGTCTTGCAAACTCAAACAGTCCATGCTTATCTCTAAGCAACCATTGTTGCCATCATCACCAAGGACCATTACTCATCAATTATCACGGGATTGTTAACTTAGGGATCCTGCTGCTTGAACAGCCTGATCTAGCAGCACCAGCTTTACAAGGCCTTTCTGTTTCTCCCAAGCCAATGCCTCCTTGTGACCCAGAAAGTGTCAGAGTCCAAAAGGGACCTTGAATTACCTGGATTGCCCCTCAGTATCTTGCTACAGAGTGTGGCTATCTGCACTGCCCGATTGGTCAAGTATCCTCCCAAATGACATGTTTTAAATAACTTTTTAACGTTTGTTTTGGTTGTATGTGAGAACATGAGCAGGTGTTTTAGGTCAGAGGATAACATGGTGTAGGAGTCAGTTCTCTCCTTCTACTGTATAGACAGACTCTGGGGATCAAACTCAGGCTGTTAGACGTGGCAGCAAGCACCCTTCCCCCACTGAGCCGTCTTGCCAACCCAGCCCCAAGAACGACATTTTAATCACTTCAGCTGAGTGTCTGTGAGTAAGGTATACTCTAACTGGGCAAATACACAATAATCCAGAAAACACAACATAAATGTCCAGGAAATTATCTGTCACCCAAGCCCTTCCTCTGAGGCCTGCAAGTCTTTCTTTCAAGAACACATTGCCCCAAACTGCTTTCCCTGAGCTCATTCTGTGTTTGAATTTCAGTCTTTGAAAAGTGATGTTGAAATAGAATTCTCTTGGCTACACATCTGAATTGATTTGCATTCAAGCCCAAACTTTGGAAATAGTTCTCCTGAAAAGAGTTTATTTTTAATAATGAAGATTGGAAGGACTTTTTTTCTGATGCGTTCATCTCCATGTTACACAGTTCTAATCAGGTTTCAAAAATAGTATTCTGTCTTATTTGAAAAATTAATAAAGCTCTGACACTCTCACAGGACTAATTTTATAACCAGATAATTACACAAATGAAAATAGAGAATTTTTTTAATGGGAAGTGGCTTGTAAATCATGCAGATGTTGAAAAAGGAAGTAAATGATAACTTATGGAGAACATTGCATGGAAGCCCATGTTTCTGTCACAGCTGCAGCTGCTGGACTGCTCCTGAAAGCAGACAATGAAACCTGTTACCTGAGGCTCCAAGCAGGTGGCCCGGGACCCTGTATAAGCCTAGACCTTCTTCTTTTATTAGGGCTTTCTCCTTTTGATTTCACTAGAGTGCTAACCTTTCATCTGCAGCCATTGAGGACAGGACAGGCGGGAAGTGGAATAGACTGCACTGGAAACATAAACATACATCTGTTTTTAGTAAGAAAACAGCACACAATCCAAGAATAAAATGGATCTCTGCATTTAAGTGGCCATAGCATGTCTGTATAAAGAAGCCAGCCTGAGAGCAGGTGGAGGCAGTTAGATCCAGGGGTGGCCATTTAGCGTCTCCTTCCTTGCATTATCTGGAGGTACATCCACCACCTAGGGCTGGGGTACTTAGCAGAGACAGAGCATGGGGAGAAAACGGGCAGGGTAAGCAGCTGCCTAGGCTACCAGAGGGCCTCTCTTCCCCTTGTCCCACCCACAGCCCAGCCCTGAGCAGCAGCTGCGGCTTTCTAGGTGTCTAAAAACTGGAGCTTTCTAACTGTGCTGCCCTGAAGAGGAGTGGAATGTGAATCCAATCCATTCCCGAGGGAACTCAAACCCAAACCCAAAACTGTACTCTTTGCCGGTTTCTCCCATCCTCCGGGGACTTACACCAACCCCCTCCCTCCATCTGTACCAGCCCTGATCCCACTCTGTCCCAGCCTGTCCTTTCTACCGTGGGCCTAGCTGAGTCCCCAGGGTAAGCTCAGAACTTCAGTCACACCACACTTGCACTTGGCCTAGTATTTCAGAACTCCATGGCCCATTTCCTTCTGGTCCCGCCTTGCTGAAGGCCTGAGTGAACTCAGCCCAGAGAATCAGGATGTCCCCA